TTTCAGCGGACACAACATCTTTGTTGGTATGTGGTGCTGAGGATCGAACCCGGGCCGCAGGCATGCCAGGCGACCGGGCTACCGCTTGAGCCACATCCCCAGCCCTCTTGAATTCTTTTCAAAAGCCACTCCCTAGACATTTAGCTCAGTGCAAGGCCCCAGATTCCTTCCCCAGTAATGCAAAAAAAAAAAAAGCCACTTCCTAAACTGGACATAGTGATGGGTGCCCCGAATCTCAGCTGCTGGGGAGGCTGAGGCTGGAGGATTGCTTGAGCTCAGGAATCAAACCCAGACTGGCAACAGGAAACCCCATTTCAAAAAACAGACAATCACTTAAAACTACACACACTCTACATACCCCATTGTCCTCCATCCCTCAGGGCAACTTTATTTCCTTCACGGTGCTTTTTCACAAATGACATCTGATGTGTGTGTCTATTATCTGCCCCTCCTGCGGGAATGAAGCACCACAAGTGGTGCCCGCATGTGTCCAACAGACAGCAAGAAGCAACCTGCAAATGTTCTGAGGGTGCCAAGCTCGTGGCACGGGCCTGCAATCCCAGGGACCCTGTCTCAAACAAAAAAAAATCTTAAAAGGCTGGGGATGAGTCAGTGGTAAAGCACCTCTGGGTTCCACTCCCAGCCCCCTCAAAAACAGAAAGTAAGTATCCTTGAGGCACTGCTTGCAGACAGTGTCCCTCCTAAACTGCACTGAAGTGTTTGTGAGAAAATGCACTCTGCAGAGACCAGAGCCTTCCTGACTTCCCTCCTCCCCTTCAGAGTTCAGGGCTTTGCGATGTACTCCACCCTCAGTCCTAACAACTAGAGAGTAAAAGTGTGTGGGGTTTCCATGTTCCATCCGCTCTGCTCAGATTATTGCTGTTTAGAAATTAGTTTAGTGAGGAAATTGGAAACTCTACAGCCAGACTCTGAATTACAACCCAAGTTCCACCACCTAGCAGACCAGTGCCTTTCAGCAAGCACTTAATTTCATTAGCCTCAGTTTTCTTATCTGTAAAGTGAGGATAACAACACCCATTTTGCTAAGCACATTAAGTGCTTAGTACATGCAAGAGCTCACTGCTTATCAGCTAACATCTCTATTATCATTCCCTGTCACGCATCTAAAGTGAACAAAGGAGTTCCGTGGCCCAGGCCTGTAATCTCATCAATTTGGGAGACACAGGCAGAAGAATGCTGGTTTGGGACCAGTCACAGTAACTTAGCAGGGTTCTGTCTCAAAACAAAAAAATAAAAAGGGCTGGGGATGGAGCTCAGTGGTAAAATCACCTCTGAGTTCAATCCCCAGTATTTAAAAAAAAAAAAAGTAGAAAAGGGGCCTAGAGACCACATCCCCTCTCCTTCACTGTTTAAGAAGACAAACCCTGCTGTAAAACGCATAGTTAACCTGGTCTACTGTACTGGGTGGAAAGCGAGTTTGGATCCTCAGGCCTGTCACAGGACCCAAGAGATTTAAAGAGGTGGGAACTTCAGAATAAAAAAGCTAAAATGAGATTGAGTCATCTTTTCAATGATCCAAAACAAAACTCATCTGTTTTCTTCATAATCTGCTCCCGGTCTGGAACTCCTATCCAATTTCAACCCATCCTTCTCCCTTTCTTTCCTCTTCTGAATATTGAAACTGTATTAACAGGTCCTCCCTATTCTTGGTGTCTCCATTCCCACTGCCAGAGCCTCAGTTCAGTGGACCCCACCCTTTTCCTCCTGAGGAGCAACAAGAGTCTCCTAATTCATCTTCTCATCTGCATCCATGGTCCCACAATCCTCTTTCACCCTTGCCAGCCCTTTTCCTCATCCCTTAAAATCCTTCAAAGTCTCCTTATAGTCTTACAGAGCCTGTCACTCCTGCATACTCCCGGGGTGCCCCAGTCCCACCATGGGGTGCTGTTTCCTAAGCTTCCCATGCCCACAGCCAGTTCCCAGGGCCCTTTGGGGGACAACTACCACTCAGCACACATACCACTTTTTCTCCAAAATCTTCACTAAGACACTGCTCACCTAGGGTCCCTTCTTACCTTCCTTTGGTGTCTCATGAATACCTCTGTAATAGCACTTGGCATTATGTTGTAATTTTTAGATCCCTATCTATCTCCTCCACCCCAATTAAACTATAATTTCCTTAAATGCTTGTGGAGTGAAGCATCTAAGGCAGGGGGTTGGGAGAAGGGGACAGTTCCAAAAAGACCAGCTCACATCACTAATGCCTTCATGCAAAACACTACCTAACAGAAGAGCTATCCATGGCAAGCATAGTGGGTCAATGTTGGCAGGATATTGATATAGAAGCTGTGGTGAACATATGGCCAGTTGTTAAGCAGTCAAATATAGTGAGAAGGAGAACCAGGAGTCCTAGGTTTGAAATCTAACCTGTCCCTTTCTAAGCCACTAGTGTCACTATGTGTAAGTTAATTAACCTAAATCTGTTTCCTCACCTGTAAAATAAACAAAATAGGACCTGCACAACTGTGCTGTTTATCAGGTGGGACAATGGCTGTAGCACGCCTGGCACAGAGCAGGCTTCTAAGGCTGCTGATAAATGTCAAACCTTTTCCACTTACAGATAACTACGGGAAGTCCAAGGTCACATATTCTGCATTTTGGGAACATTTAACACTCTTCCAAAACCTTGACCACACCCTGAATCCCAGCCAGCCATCTTGCAGATGAAGTAGGTCATAAAAGAAGATTAAGTAAAAAAAAAAAGAAAAAAAAATCATTTCAATGTTAATGCCATCTCCTCACCATTGTTGAAAAGCAGTTTGAAAAGCCTGCCCAACTCACAGCATCATCTTGGTATTATGAAAATGAGGAGGCTATAGAATGAATCTAATATAAACAATGATGCCTTGGAATGCAGGCTCCAAGAGTATGAATTTAGTCATGGATCTCACTCTAATGGAGTACATAAAAGAGCCCATGTCAAATCTTCTCAAGCTACTAGTCTGGTTTTACTAGTCTTTAGTTCATAAGGACTGTATCCCAACATTTTCATGTTGTTACAATATGAAATTCTGGCTTACTTAATTTCCTCATTTAAAGTGAGAGATCACTGTCATGCCTGTTTAAATCCTGAAATGTACATTTGAACTTTCAATAACATAAATGTTTATTTTTTAAACAAACTGTCACCTACCATATCAGCCACACAACAAAGTTTCCACCAACAGAATAACAAAGCAAATGCAAAAGCTTTGGAGATGTCTCTGTTGAGAATTGCTCAAAACAAGAATTCAAGAAACTGGATTTAAAAAAAAAAACAAAACAAAACTTTAATTAGATTGTTCCCAAAAAACTCTCTGTTAATAGTAAAATGACCATTTTTTGAATTTCCCTTTGTGTTCAGGCCAACTAATTTGTAGAAGATAATTTAATGAATTTAATTTTTCACATTTGTTTTAATATTCTGTTGACCTTGAAAAAAGTTTCTATTTCTTTCAAAGGTTACATGTGTTCCTCATATGGTCACAAAAAAAGTTACACCTTCCTCAAGGGCTGGGTAAAGTGAAGAGACACATTTCAGATTATACAGTATCCTTTACTGGTCTGTATGCTTTATTGATTTGAAAACAAATCCTTGGTGAAAAACTGAAATATGTAAAAGCCTCTAAACCAGGGACTATTTAGAGATCATAAAGGAAAAAAAAAAAAAGTAATTTCCGGAAATAAAGGACTACTGAAAAACAGACTCTGCCTGAAGAGAAATTGTCCATCAGAATTAATATGAAAGAAAAAAGCGGGGAGATTGTGCCATTTTTCAAAACTACATAAAATAAAGTGCCTCTAAGCAGGTCTCTTCATAATTCCTGAGAGAAAGAAACTGCTCAATATTTTTCTATCTCAAGATTACATTCCTAATGTTTATTGTGGAAAACAAATTCAGGAACAGAATGAACAATCCTAACTTCCAAACAACCAAGTATTATAATCAGTGAAATTTTTTGCTTCCTTTCCTACCTGACCCTTAACACCCATCACTTGCATGCTTTATCCCTGGAGAATTTTAGTGACTACAAAAACACACCGACTACTCTGTAGCCAAAACTGGAGCATGGGAGTCTTACAGAAGAACTAACCTGATAGATGACTAATTTCTTAATAATGCAGGGAAGTTTATATGAACCAGTAGAAGAAATGGAGAGATGGGGTGAGGGCCTAGCCTGCAGGAGTAAGGAAAAGGAAGCTCCCAATTTGTAAAAAGGCAGGGAAAAGGCAGTAGAATCACAGGAAATTCCTTTTACCCCAATTACCACTATTTTTACAACTATCTTTCTAAACAATCCTTACAACATTAAGAAGGGGATCTGTATGACTCCTTTCAAAATGAAAACGGGAGAGTTTACAAAGTCATTTGTTTCCTGTTCAGTCTCTGCTACAGCCAAACACAAGTTTGAAAAGGAAAAGGTATAATAAAAGAGAAAAATTCCAGAAGTCATTAGTGGTCTGTTAAACTACCAGAATTTAACCGGAATCTTCTAAACTATTAAAAAGATACATATTTCACCAAATAGCACGGAATCTGCCTGTAAGCCACCTTCCAAACATAAGGTATATTTACTCAACATATACAATGACATGGCCACACATATTTGGAATTTCTAATACTGCCCTTAAAAACATACACCCACTAAACATCCTGATGTCATCCAAAATAATCTTTAAATCCCTGAAGACACACACAATTTATCGTGATTTAAATCTAGCCCTTCTTTTTTGAAAACCCTTAAGAATGAACACCACAAGATGCTCTATTCTCCAGACCCTTAAAGGAACGCTCGAAAAGCAAGCAGAGTTCCGACTGAAGAAAGAAGAGAATAAAACCTGAGACCCTCGCCAGAAGAAATCTTATTCTTGGAAAATGTCATCTCCCCTTCCTTCCCCAAGCCCCAAAGCCCGGCAGTGCTGGCGCAAAATCATTCCTGTCCAAAGCGCCGCCAAAGAGTTGCTAACTAATCCCTCAAGGTGTCCCCCAACCTCCTCACCTCATCAGCGCTCAGTTCCTCCATCGCTTTCCTCTTAATGGTGAAAGGCGTTAGGGAGAAATCCTTCTATTCTCGAGACCAGGGCGAGAGGAAGGAGGGTAGAAGGTGTCTAGCAGGCTCTCTGGTCCCCCGAATGGGGGAGGTTTCAGAATTGCATAGTCAGAGGTTAAAAAATAAGAACACGAGGCACTGGTCTGCCTTGGCTTCGGTCACTCCAATCGCCCCAGACTCCTACAGCTGCTCGTGCCCAGAGCAGCCTCCGCCGGCCGCCGGGGCTGCTGCTACAGGGTCGCCACTCACTACCCTCAGCTTCCCAGGTTACCCCGAGCAGGCAGCGCTGTCTCCAGCTCGTCTCGTGCCCCCAGCGTGATGTGTCTTGCTGGTGGCGGCGCGGCAGCTGCGTTTTCTCCAGCAGCTCTGGCCCTCCTTCCGGCTCTCTGCCCCAGGCGGGAACTGCTCGCCCGAGGGGTGGATGCCCCGAGGTAAGGCGACCCCACAGCCGCCCTGGCAGAGCCCAGCACTGTACAGGGAAGCCCCTCCTCTCGAAAAGCAGGCCCGACACGCCCCTCCTCCACGCTGGAGCCTGGGCAGGGGGGAGGGGGAGGATGGGACTGGCGGTGCTCTCGCTGGTAGCGTAAATCCTCCTACCCCTCCACCCCTACTCTTACCCCCTCGCCCCACCAAGTATTATTCATCAAAACAACAGGGCGGCCATCTTTGAAAGGGATCACGTGACCCCGCCGGGGAGGCGGGGCTTCTAGCTCCGGGATGCCGCAGCCAATAGGCCGCGGGCGTCGCGCCGCCGATTTCCTCTCGCCTGCGTCCTCTCCTCGCCCCTCCCCCGCAGCAGCTCCCGGCGGGGAGCGTGGCTCGAGAGGCTGCGGGCGGGCGGGGAGCGGACCGGGGCGGGGCGGGGCGTTGCCGCGGCGACCGCGCGGGGGCGGCGGGCGCGGTAAGCGCAGGTAGGCTGTCAAGGAAAGGCCTGGGAAGGCCTGCGCCCGCCTGCGCCCGCCTGCGCACCACGGAGATGCGCCTGCAGGGGGCGCCCTCCTGCCCGAGGTTTGGGTTCCCGCGGCTCTGAGTTGTTCCCAGGCGCCTGCTGCTTAGTGACGTGGAGCTCTGAAACCCACCGCCGCCGGGCGCTTGCGCCCGCGGCTCAGCGGAGAAGGAAAACGGAAGACGTATCCTTCCTGCGGAGAGCTCGGCTGCTGCAGAGCCCTCGCTGCACTCCTCCCCTCCCCAGGAGAGTGCAATGGAGGAAAAGTCGCAAGAACTTCATTACTTTTATTTTGCTTTGGCTTTTTGGAGACACACTTTAAAAAAAAAAAAAAAAAAAAAATATATATATATATATATATATATATATATATATATATATTAAGCGTACTGCTAAATATGAAACAATAAATGAGAGACCCAAATAACTGAGAAGTGTGGACAGCCTCTGCAAGAAAGACATTTAAAAAACAGCCTGGGGCATAGTGGCGCCCGCCTGTAATGCCAGAGGCAGAAAGGTCACAAATTCGAGGCTAGCCTCAGCAATTTAGCGGATCCCTAAGCAACCCAGACCCTGTCTCAAAATATAACATAAAGAAGGGGCGGGGGCTAGGAATGTGGCTCAGTGTCTCAGCACCCTGGACTCAATCCCCAGTACCAATAAATAAATAAATATTTGATTTTTTAAAAAAGTAGCCTTACCCGGATAAGGACATAAATATTTTGTAACATGCAAATCTAAATTGAGTCCTCAAAGTAACAGTACCATGAAACCCAGACTTTGCCACAAAGAATATATTGTATTGGAAGGTTTACCAAACCATAATCTCAAAGGTTCCATTCCAGAATTAAGAGTTACAATTTATTTGTTACATGCTTAAAATAGGAACCTATTAAATTTGTTAGAAATTTGTGAGTAAAGTTACCACTGGTTCGGCGTGTTACCTGCTTTCCAGGAAAGGAATCTGTGTAGACAGAACTTTGTTTGGACCCCTGTTGACATAGTCGTTAATACATTCACTTCTCTTTTAAAAAGTCATTATTGCCGTATAATCTCACACCCCCTTTTTTATTATTTTTTTTTGTGGGGGGGGTACCAGGGATTGAACTCAGGGGCACTTGACCACTGAGCCACACCCAGCCCTATTTTGTATTTTATTTAGAGACAGGGAGAGTCTCCCTGAGTTTCTAAGCACCTCGCCTTTGGTGAGGCTGGCTTTAAACTCGTGACCCTCCTGCCTCAGCCTCCGGAGCCACTGGGATTACAAGCGTGTGCCACTGAGCCCAGCTATTCAAACCCCCTTTTAAAGTATACAGAGGCTGAGGCAGGAGGAGCACAAGTTCTGGGCCAGCCTCAGCAGTTTAGCAAGAACCTATCTATGAAAGAAAAAAAGTGAGAAAGTGAGAAAGTGAGAGAGTGAGAGAGAGAGAGAGAGAGAGAGAGAGAGAGAGAGAAGCAAGCAAGCTATGGTCAGGATTCACAGAGTTGTTCAACTGTCATTGCTCTCTAATTCCAGAACCTTTTCATCCCCCCAAGAGAAACCCTCTCCCTAACACATTAACAGTCACTTTTCTTTTTTTTTTTTTTTTTTTTTTTTTTTAAAGAGAGAGTGAGAGGAGAGAGAGAGATAGAGAGAGAATTTTTTAATATTTATTTTTTAGTTCTCGGCGGACACAACATCTTTGTTGGTATGTGGTGCTGAGGATCGAACCCGGGCCGCACGCATGCTAAGCGAGCGCGCTACCGCTTGAGCCACATCCCCAGCCCCCAACAGTCACTTTTCATATCCCTCTCCTTCCAACCACTAATCTACCTTCTGTCTCTGTGGAGTTTCCTATTTTGGACTTTTTACATCAAGAGAATCACAAACTCTGTGACTTTTTGTGTCTGGTCTAAATTTAAAGTATGTTTTTAAGGCTCATCAGTGTTGTAGCACAGCAGGCACAGTGGTCCAGGCCTAACGCCAGCAGCTGGAGAGGCTGAGGCAGGAGGATCACAAGTTCAGAGCCTATCCAAAACAGCAAGATGCTGTCTCTAAATAAAATATAAAAAAAGAGCTGGGGATTTGGCTCAGTGGTTAAATGCCCTGGGATTAATTTCCAATACTATGTAACACATATTGGTATTTCTTTTTTTTTTTTCCTCATTACTGTGGATTGAACCCAGAGCTGCTGCACCACTGGGCCATATCCCCAGCCCTCTTTATTTCTTATTTATAAACAGAGTCTTGCTGGCACAGGATGGCCTCAAATTTGCAATCCTCCTGCTTCAACCATCAGTTGCTGGGATTACAGGTGATTGCTGACAAGTATTTCATTTCTTTAATGCCAAACAATGTCCCATTGCATGGCCATAACACCTTTTCATAGTTAATGGAATTTTAGGTCACTCTACCTTTGGGCTTTTCTGAATCATGCTGCGATAAACTTACCTATACAAGCGTTTGTGTATTTTTGTCTCTCTCGGGCAAATGTGGAAGAGGAATTTCTGAGTTGAGATTTTGAGGAACTTTCAGACTTTTCCAACCCAGCTGTACCATCTTACCTTCCCACCAGGAATGTGAGCATTCCAGCTTATTCACACTGTCTTTTTATTGTAGCCACACTAGAAGATGTGAAATGATCCCTCATTGTGGTTTTGTTTCTTGTTTCCCTAAGGGTTAAGGATGTTGAGGTTTTTTCATGTGTGACCTTTCTTTGGGAAAATATTCAAATCCTATGTGATTTTTAATTGGATTATTTATTTTTATTATTGAATTGTAAGAGCTCTTTTTTATATTCCAGAGACCAGTCCCTTATCAGATATATGGTTTGCATACCCTTTCTCCCATTCTGAGGACTTTTTTTCACTTTTTTGATGGTAAAAAATTTAATATGATGTCGTCCATTTTATCATTTTTTTTTGTCATTTGTGCTTTAGTTGTAATAGATTCACTTTACAAGGAATATTTAATCATTTAGTATTCAAATGTTATATTTAGGTATCCTTCCCACTGTGGTTGGAGAAAATAAAATCAGCAAAGTTAAATGGCTTGCTTCGAGTCAAATAGGAAATTATTAAAAATCTTGCTTCCTCTGAATTTGTTCCCCAAAATAAAAATAACTATGTGTATTACAAAGACATATTGTCTAGTATATAGTGGATTTTTTAAAAATGCAAGATAAAGCACTGATTACATATTTGTTTGCTGAATATTTTGCCACAGTATTCTGCTCCCTATAAATTTCATGTCCTGTCTGGTTTATAGGTGGTGCAGTTTGTGATTTCTGACATTTGAATTTTTCTGAGTTGAATTTTTTTTTTTCTTGCAATACTGGAGTTTGAACATAGACCTCATGAATTCTAGGGAAGTGCTATACCAGTGAGTTACATTTCCAGCCCTGATCATTTTATTTTATTTTCAATCAGGGTCTTGCTATATTACCCAGGCTGGCCTTGAACTTGTGATTCTCCAGCCTAAGGCTCCTAAGTAGCTGGGAATACAGGCATGCACTATAAGGTAATATTGTAGAGTCACAAAAATTAGACATGAGGTCTCTTTGGCTGTCTAATTTTCTTCCCAGGGTTCTTTTACGAGTTGAATCCCTCTAATACATTTTTTATTGCCTCTTCAGCTGTGTTCCAACATATGTGATCATTTCACAATTTTCCTTAGGGGAAACTCTCCCACAACCTTATGAATAACTGCCTCAGAGCTGTTTGTGATAGACAGCCCATACATTGTTTTGCTCATTTTCTTCCATTTGAATATATTTTCCCTTTGGAACATGTGAAATCATCTCTTTGCCTCACTAAGGAACAACCAAGCTTCAAGATCTTCAACAAATTCGTTCTTAGAATTACTTGGATGTGAGTAAAAATATTTCTTTTCTAATTTTCTGTAGAGGTACTGGTGATTAAACTCAGGTCCCTGCACAAACTAGGTGCTTTACCACTGAGCTACATCCCCTGCTCCCAAAATACTTTTTTAAACTAATAACTGATAAAGGAAGAGCCCATAAAACAACCAAATCATGAAAGGGAAAATTAAAGTATATTTAGGGCAGGATTTTCTTATTTTAAAAGGGTAAAGGTGTTTGGTTTATGTTTACTTTTATGTGATAATAAAAAATAGCCTCCATTAGAATTTGTAACCTGGGGCTGGGGATATGGCTCAATTGGTAGCACCGCTCGCCTGGCATGCTTGCGGCCCGGGTTCGATCCTCAGCACCACATACAAACAAAGATGTTATGTCCGCCAATAACTAAAAAATAAATAATAAAATTAAAAAAAAAAAAAGAATTTGTAACCTTTTAGAATAACTACCAGGACTTAGCCCTGTGAGAATGGACTTTTGATCTGACACTTAAATATAGCATGTGTGAGCCTAAGCAACTCCATCTTAAAACTCCAGTTTGAAACCTGCAGTCTCACCAGGCACAAAGCCCTCCAGTGTGGCCCTCAGACACAAACAAGTCACTCCCCCCACCCTGATCAACTCAGAGTGAAGTCTCAGGCAGGCAGTTCTGGCCCAATAAGAGGGAAAGGTGAAAAGATCAAGGTGGGGACCACCAGACCAGATGATTTAACCCCAGAGTAAGTGATACACTGAGAAATCCATTGGTAGCTGATAAAGATTGAAAGGTAGGGGGTCAAAAGCCCCCAGATCTGGTATAAATAGTGGAGCAAACGAACAGACATTCAGCCAGCCACACTGATACCCTCACACTGAGAGCCTGATGAGGA